ATGATGTTTGTGAGCAGCATGCCAAATTACCTCTCTGAATAAAGTCCTAACAGAATTTAAAATTTTAAACTTGTACGGCACTAACACAGAAACGGTAATTCCACGAGTATGAATATGGCTTTTTGTATACAAAAAAAGCATGTTATGAACCCTGAGGTTTTCTCAACGTTCCATATGTGCAAAACGGTTTAAGAAGAGAGTCATAAGAACGATTTTAACCGGAATCCGATATCGCTTAGAGTGTCGCCTTTACTGCATTCCGCAAATGTTCACATATGAAAAGGCAGCGCATTAACGTGCCTAACATGGGACTAACGCACTTGTCCATTGGTTTTTCACTGAGCACTGCTCGTAGTTTTGTTTGAAGCTAAATTATATGTTCAACTGTTAACCATAAAAATCTGTAAAAATTCAAAATGGGGCGATACAAGCGATCTCACCCGTTAAAAACATTGAAGCATCCCAAAATGCGTGATCCACCCACGGGCTGCGTGGTCATTAATGGGTTAACACGAGCTTGAAGCGGATTAAAACAGCATTAAAGACTGTTGTAAACCGTGTATTTTCGAGAGTCTGAATCAGAGCTTTTGGAAGTATCTTAATTCATTTAAGTTTGGATTACCCGAAACCCATAATTTGACACGGTGAAATCATATTCAGCTAAGGTTTCATTTTGAGCCTAGGAGGTGTATAGTGAAAGATGACTACTACAGACTTACTTAAAAAATGTCAAAGGAGTTATTTTAAGGACCAAAGGATAAGAAATGGCAAATTACTTGACCTCAAGCTGCACAGTTAATAAAGTGGGAATGATCGCCTGTTCAGGGATTTTGTTGAGAGGACCCTAGATAGTTTGAAATAAGTCTTCAGTACGAAACGGACATGTTTTTGGTAATCAGCAAATCCCTTCGCACAAAGTCTCAGATAAATTGCCGAATTTATGAAGCACTCAGTCTGCAATAGCCTCTTTTGATTTTTTTATTTCTCAAACTCCCGAAGATGAGCAATTTATTTAGTAAAAAGGACCAATGCTGTCTAAACTCGTCTTAAGCATCATATGTTTAATGCGTTCGCACAAAACGCAAAAAAAAAGGATGAAATCTCGATGATTCATACAGATGCAACATCTTGAAAAAAAAGAGAGACTTAGCTCTGCGCATTTGAAGTTGACTTCATTTAGGTATAATCCACGTCAAATTTTGGGTAAATTCGCTATTGTATTTTCCTTCCACGAATATTGAACTTAGGTTTTAGAATACCATAATAAACCCTCCTCAATAATACACATCTAATCTCAAACGATTGTAACTACTGCATCCAACTAGAGGCTTATGGAGAGAGCTTGTTTACACTGCTATTAAGAGCTTGACAATTTTTGTATACTAAAAGAAACTTCGCAAGTAAGACTGTATAAAGTATCTAAAAAGATAGAATCTTCACTTTAGTCAATAACAGAAAGAACTCACAATTCACGTAATGGGGATTTGCAAGTGCTTGCACAAATTCGCATTCGATTTCAAATCGTCGCCGCTGTTCTTCAGGTGGCTCCAATTGAGCAGTTGAAAGCTGAACTGGAAAAAAGAATGATTATAATGTCAGCATAATCTACTGAACGATGTTTTGACTTTGATCATACGATCTTGCTTGCACTCTAAACTCTAGTTGAGACAATCCCAAGCTGCTTCTTCTAAGACTTAGCTTTGTCGAGCAACTAACATGCCCAAGATTTCCAGAGAATCAGTGGTAGTAACTAATGAAACGATATTGACGGGGTGTATAAAAGAATACGCACCCATATCCATACGTTTTATGCAGACCCGTTGAGCTTAGATAAAGTATGATTTGTTTGATGCTCACACAATCCTTTGAAAATACACACGGGCGGATCTCAGAAATGAGCCAAAGTTTGAATGACGGAAAACTCATCTATTTAACTGTAGTCCTGTCTCACAAAAAAGTGAAACCGAAAGGCAAGTTGAACTGTTCAACACATTACAAACATGCAACAGAAATAAGTCAAGAGTAATGGGTCAGCTAAGAGATGCGCATCTGACTTGAAGATGTCAATCTTTGACAAATTAACGCAAGGTAAATAGACCACCAACCATTTTCGAAGTCAAGCAGTCCTAATCTTAAATTAGCTAATCGCCCCTCATCAAAGATTTGTGCACGATGCGAGAGCTTCAAGAAAAAATGAAAGAACTAACAAGAATAAAGTTCAAGAAGCGATAGAGCAAAAGATGCTCCCATATCTATGATTATTTTATGTTGAAATCGGACTTTTCAAATAAGTAAGATGCACTGAGGTCAGATTATTAAGCTATAGTGATTTTGAAAAAAAAAATTAGAAA